GTTGGCTGGTGCTAATGCTATAGAAAATCCAGGAAAGAAATGTAGAACTAGAAACCATTGCTTCTGGTAAGTGGTAGAGCTGAGAGGCACTAAACGAGGAGGGGGAGCACAACCATTCTCCCCTCACCCAGCTCTTATGGCTTACTTTTCTTAACACCTTTCACTGTGCCTCAGTTGAGAGCGCCTCACAGAAAACTGTCTGGCAAAGGAGAAATGGTTATAGAATGCTAGACTAAGCATTTCAAAGTATGTATATGGCAGATTAGTTTGAAACTTAATTACTGCTGCATCGTTTCAGGAAATTTCTGAAAGTGCTATAAACAGTGCTTATACTTCTATGTACTTCTAATTTTATAGGGTAAGGTGGTGTACGTCAATCCAGTTCATATTCAGCCATGTATGTGATACCTCCATTTAAGTTATTAAAATAGGTATTTCAAACTTAAACTTTCAAAACACAGCTTTTTGTTCCATAACCCTCAACTTTAAACATCTCATTAGGTAGAACCATTATCCAAAATCCTAAACACCAGTCATTAATTACTCTGTGTGTCTTATCCTATGCAACCAACTGATCAATAATCCTTGTCAAGTTTTTTGGGTTTTTTTTCATTTTTGTTTTTAATTCTATCCCATTCCACTTAATCATCTTCTCTTTCCTGGCCTGTGTTCGTTTGTGCCCAGAATCATTCATTCATTATATTGTGACCTCTAAATAGCAGAATGAGCTTTTAAAGACAAAAATTCTATTACGTCACTAAAACCCCTATTTAAAATTAAATCAGTGAAGTTCCTTGACAGTCATTTGTCTGCTAAAGCTGACAAGTGAAAGTTATTTTTTGGCATTGAAATTCTTTATAAAATTTGATCCTTTGTTTTCTCTAATTTGTATGATCACCTTTTATTCCCCAAGTAAATTACTCATGAATTTTTTGTGTTTGGAGAACCTTTTTTACCTGTTATTTCAAATTCACATAAAAATAAAGATCAAAATTTAGAAAAGACAAGCTAGCATGTGAATGTATGTGATTTAGTCTCCCCAAAATAAACAACATAATTTTATAAAAGTATTATTAATATATATGGCAGCCACCGAAAAGTCTATAGCCTTGGAAAGGAATACAATTACAGCTATTTACCTATTGAATGAACACACAGAATGCTTCTAGACAAGAGCCAGTCTAAGGTGGAGGCAAAAAAAGCACCAGCTGTATTCTAAGGGCGCATGCACAAAATGTTGCAGACATGGCTGTTTATATATATGTTCAATTTCTTGAGTGCTAAGCTAGAGATTCAGGATTTTTCTCATAGGCAGTGATTCAAATTATTTTTTAGTTGATGCAGTTTTAATGATTTGAATATTAACCCATTTGTTTCAGTTCTATAGTAATTACATTTTTGTAGGGCTTTACTTTCTAGATTTAAAATTAATAAGTAAATGATTTTATTTGTAATGTGAAATCTGATGAATTCAAAAGATAGTTTCACTTGAAAGCATCATAGCATTGGAGAAGATAAAATGTAGTGGTTAAACCCAAAGAATTTGAATCACATACTCTAGTGGAAGCCAGTTTTTATAACTTTGGATAAGCTACCTACCTATCCAAGCCTCAGAGATAATACAGTATCAAATTTTGTTATAGAGCATAAATGTATAGATGATCTAATGTCTAGTTCTAATAAAGTAGAGCAGCATATAAATTGTTTTACCTTAAAGTTTTAAAACTCTGCTGCCCTCATCTGCTCTCCTTTTAAACATGACCTATTTCTATCACTCTAATGTAGCTGTTCAACATAGTTGATGACATACCTATATAGAAATAAATACTATTCTTCAATACTTGGAAACCCTCCCAAATTCAGAAAGCTGTATTTACAACATGTCTTTGTCCCACTTACTGTATTTTTTTGTCTGTTCCTGATTGGATTATAGGAGTGTTTCCCTAGACCAGTGATGACAAACTAGAGCTTTTAATAATAACAAACAGCTCATTGTGGCACACATGCCATAGGTTCACTACCACTGCCTGAGACTCTGCTGGGGACATTTTATAACCTGTGGTTCCTTATCTTCCTGCAAATCTGAAAAATTCTTGAGTCTCAGGACGTTTCTGATGTCACAGGTTTTAGCTATTCGCCAAGTGTTTATGTTTTTAAACTTTGCTTCAAAAGTAAAGGTACTTTTCATAGTATTTTAATAACCTTTACATAATACTCCCCGTGTAGTTCATCTACCTATGACCTAGCAACTCCACTGCTAGTATTTGTCTTAAGATAAATGAAAACTGTAGTACTCACAGCGTCATGCTCTGTAAGAGCTGTAGAAGTGATAAAGACAGGAGGGTGAAGCTCATCTGCAGCAAGACTATCTGGGCTGGAATTCCAGTGCTGCCACCTAAACCTGCTTTTCTGGGGAGGCATTAATTTAGCCTGCCATAACGTGCCCCAGTTCAGCATGCATAACCTACTCTCAGCTCCAGCCAGTGACATCATTGTGGTGGGTTGTTCCAGCGCTCAATGAAGACTTTGCTAGTCTGATTTTTTTTTTTTTTTTTTTGTATAGGGTATCAAATGTGGGACCTTGTGCTTGCGAGGCAGGTGCTGGAATCACTGAGCTAAATTCCCGGCCCCAGCTACTCTGATTTTTATTCTCTTCTTTCGATGATATCTGCTGTTTTCAGTATCCTACATCCTGCAAAAGACATGTGTGCATGTACAAAAGCTGGCAGGCACACGTCCATTTCTTCATCAACTTTCTGCTTTCCTCCCATGCTTGACATTGTGTCACCACCTAATGAGTGCCTGGTATCCAAAAGAAGCAGCTCAGTTCAAACATGTTTTCAGTTGTCTCTTCTCTCTGTGGAAGACTTCTTTTTCTTGTCATCTTTATTTCTATTTTTGATATTTTTTTTTCTGAACTTGTCAAGCTTGAAAGCAGTATGCCTTCTGCTTCCTTCTTAAAAAATAGAATGTAATATATAATACTTTTAGTATTATATAACATACTTTTGCTATTATATATTCAATTTTGAACCACCTCTTAATAAGTTCTAATTTAGCTAATATTAATAGTTTTACTGAACATGTTTTAAAAGTTCTGTCATAGTGGATTTTGAATTATTTTTTTTTCAGTAATGGCTTGCTTATTTTTACCAGTAATTTCTTTGTTTTTCAAAGAAATCATATTTTTTTTCCACTGGTCTTTGTACAAGTTGATGGGAGTCAAGGAACACCAATCTCACAACTATACTTGTGTCTTCCTGTATTCTATTGTAGAGTAGGTTTTTTTGAAAAAGTTGTCAGTGGAACATTAAATGTTATTCTTTATGGTTTTACTTATGATTCTTTAATTTTCTATGATTTATTTAAAGTATTTATTACATTTTGTAGCACACTATTCACTCCTGTGATGCTGAAGATCTTTGCACTATTACAGTTGCACTTGTCCTAGTTTTGCCCTCTTTCTCAAAGAGAAATAGAATTATATCAGTATAATGTATCATTGGGTCATTTTTCTTTTTAAATGTTAAATCCTGAGGACTGGATAATGCATTGAAGTGGGAGTACTCAGTTCCAGCCCTACAACCATCTTCAGATTGACCTTATAGATGGATGGACTTTCATCTGCTACTTCCTTTTGCTGTGGCTAATTGAAGCTTATCCTATAAGATTGAAACATTGGGATTTGGAAACAAAGCTAAAGATATCTCATATGAATCATGTAAAAAGTAACTGTTGGTAAATAATTGGGGAAAGGGTACATGGGGGTTAGGCAATGATAAAAAAGATTAGGCTTTGTCTTCTTGGAGCTTACCTTGGGAGTGGTAATATTCAACTGACTCAAGACAGAAACTATGTAATCTAACAGTGGCCCCACAAATGAAGCATTTGGTTGAAGTTTGTGGGATAGGTAGGTTTTGGAAAGACTAACAGATAGGCTGGCCAACCAGCAAAGGAACTTTGGCAGTGGAAGAAATGAAATGCACAGACAAGTAACAGGGAAAGATCTTATTGACTTTTAATGCTAGGAGTACATCCAAAATAGTGAAAAATTAGTTGGTTAGATTTAAGATGATAGTTTAGGCATAGATCACAGGTATCTTAGATCTTTTATATTCTTAGTAGCAACAATGAAACATGAGATGAGACGTGAGAATGTTGAAAACTTTTAAGATAAAGTTGTCTTATGGACAGTAAACCTTAGATATAGATTGAGTATACAGATTTTATATATGTGTACATTGACAGTCTCCGTTAACAGAGTAGTTCAGTAGTTTGGGTACTGTATCAGTAATAACTAGAACAAGTTCATGATCATTCACAAAGGATTGGGATGAATCTAGGGTAAATAGGAATGGCCAAACACTTTGATGATCAGAGATGATTGTAGCTCTTGTCTTTCTTTGTGGCATAGTTATTATTAGTGCCCCTTTTCACTTTTTAATGTTTCTTGGTTTGGACAACATATCATATAATGACCCTAAAGATAGAATTAATAGCACCTGCCTAACCAGCTTGAGAGGTGAGAGGGATAGTGGCATAAAAGTACAATATAGAATTTTTAGAATTCCAATTAATCTTTATGTAGAGTTAAGAATAAAATTCTCTTACCTGAATACCACAATAAAAATTGTGTATATTTAAAAGCCCTATGTGTGTATTTCTTTTAATGAACACATCTGAGTTTTGGGATATTAAGCAAAAAAGGCCAAAGCTTTTTTAGGAGAACTTTAAATCAGTATAGCATATATTATAACATTTTTTTTCAAATAGAAATGTAGCCACAGGTCATTTAGATTATATTTTGTATAGTAAATTACCATCACTGAGAAATTATAGACTTCGGTATGTAAGCACCTTTTAGTTCCTAATCTTTTTTTATTTTTCTGATTGAAACAGGTAGCTATAGTCACATGGTATTTATTTAAGGCTTGTAGGTAGATCTAACAGATATATGGACAATCTCAAATGCTTACTGTTCTTGTGTTTTCCATGTGTAGGCAGAAGGAGAAGACAGCTTGAAGAAGATGCAGCTGATGGAGCTTGCAATTCTGAATGGCACCTACAGAGATGCCAACATTAAATCACGTAAGAATGAGAACTGAGCCCTGGGTGACACTGTCTTAAGCTGTTTTGTCTACAAGCCTTTCTCCTTTTGGCAGTGTAACACATGAACGATTAGAGTGAAGAGTTGAAGTAAATGTGTCACTTACTATGGGACCAAGAGTCCAATTTTTGATGCTTCCATAAATTGTAACCCTGATATTTTGTGTTAGAATATTATTCTTCAGATAAAATTTCAGCCTCTAAATTCAAGAATTTAAGGCTTCCAGCTCATGTTGTTACATGTATGCAAAAGACAACATCTTGAAAGCTTTTTGGGGAAAAAAAAGAGTGAATTTAAAGTATATCTGGATGAAATGACTCTTAATGTTGAATTCTTTCCTTTCACCTTGCTTGCATGTTTCATTTTTCTCTATTGAATTCTTGTGTGAGTTCACAGAGATCAGTGGATAGTAACTATTTTCAATCTTTTTTTTTTCTTTTTAAGGGATGTGTGCATGTTTTTATAAATTACAAATGATTGCTTTTCTATATTTAATATGAAACGATATGAAATTTATAATTTGAAACAACCTAAGGTTTACACAGTCCATTTACACGAACATAGTAGCATATTTAAATAAATAATTTTTTTAAAAAATTACAATTTTAAAGTTCCAGCCAACTTTCCAAAATGTAAACAACCCAGTAGGTTTAAAAGTAATTGTTTTACAAGTGGTTGATTGTAATTTACTCATTAAAATGTGAGTATCATTTTTAGCCATGAATTTAGAAACAGGACTCTGAATTCTAAAGATTGATGTAATTATATATACACCTTAGTGGTTACTTGCCTGACTTAATGAAAATTATTCTTTCTTTAATTTGAAACTGAAGTTTCACTTTGGAAATATACCAAAACTGTGTTTCTGTGGACTCCAATTACACCTTTTTTTGGTAACATCTTTTAATGCAAGCATTTTCTTGTGCTTCTGCATGGATTTTTAGTCTCATGAAATCTTAAAGACAATATCAAATAGATGAACTAAATATAACATTTTAATGGTCTCATTCACTTTTTTTTTACAGTGGCTTTTTAATTTTTGCACATTCTTAATCACATTGGGAAAGGGAAAGCTGATTGCATTTGATTGGTGTGCTTTGACATTTTTGTGTGATCAGTGCATGTACTAATGATTTCCTTTTATTTTTCTTCTTTCTTGCTTTTCCTTTCTTTTTCCTACTCCCCCCTCATTTTCCCATATTTTATACTGCTGTCCCTGTACTTCTTTCTAAATTTCTTTGCTTACTGTAGCAGCCCTTGCCTTTTCTCTTGCAGCAACAGCCCAGGCAGCTCCAAGGATCATTACTGGGCCTGCACCTGTCCTTCCACCAGCTGCCCTTCGTACTCCCACGCCAGCTGGTCCTACCATAATGCCTTTGATCAGACAAATACAGACCGCTGTCATGCCAAACGGAACTCCTCACCCCACTGCTGCAATAGTCCCTCCAGGGCCCGAGGCTGGGTTAATCTACACACCTTATGAATACCCCTACACGTTGGCACCAGCTACATCGATCCTTGAGTACCCTATTGAACCCAGTGGTGTATTAGGTAAGTTCTTCATAAGTGATTAATGGCAGTCTTCATAAATTTGCTGCCCCAGACTTTGAAATGATTTTATCACTTTTAGGGAAGCAAGATAAGTTTCCATTAGAAAAGACTAAAAATTTTATTTCAGTTTAACAGTTTCCCTGTTAAATAATTGCACCTTAGGTTTGCTTAGATTCATTTGGTAACTCATAGTCACTTTGGTTGGGTAAATTTACTGTTTAAATTTGGAACACGAAATACTTTTCCTCATTTGACATTATTGAGATTGTTCTTGACTTTTAATTTTAGGTCCCACCCCATTGCCTTATTGCCTCCATCAGCTCCACTCCCCAAAGTTAGATTTTGTCTCACAGATTAATTTGGCAGCTAAAATTTAAACTTCTGTATGAAAATATTTTGAGAATTTTATAAAATGTATATTATTGTGTTTTTAAATGTTTGTGATTACTTAAAATGGGACCAAATTATAAGATTTTCAGTTTTTTGTCTTTTGCATTTCTAGTTAACATTAAACGTCTAGTAAACATTACACTTGAGAGATACTCCTCTAATTTCAGTAGTACAGTATGGCATGGATAAGTAAAGACTAAGTTGATTTCAGAGTCACACTGGAGGCAGAAATTAAGATCATACTATAAACGCTTAGTTTTACATGAACAAAACGTGGTGTGCTCGAAAAAGATATTACTGATGCCTTTTTTTTATAGAGTGGATTGAAATGCCAGTCATGCCTGATATTTCAGCCCATTGACTTGCTGGATGAAGGACTAGAATACAGCAGCTGTTATAACACGACCAGTCAATGTGGAACAAACTGTTTCCGTGCAACCCCTTTGTTTTACCAGACAGAATTGAATACTTTATTTCCTGAATTGTATATGACCTTGGTGCTGCATGCATGCTGTTGACTTTTAGCACTTGGATCTTTTAAAGTTATTTTTTCCCCCAGAATTAATATTGATTTATAAAAATTGAAAATCTTTAATGAACCGGACTTAGATTTAAACTTGAAAATTCATTGTTCAATTAAAGAAAGCTGCAGCACTCTGTATGTTATCTGTGTGTGTGCATGCACTCAGGTGCCTTTTGTTTTATGAACAAATCCATTTTATTGTACATGTTTTCTGTCTAAATCATTGTGTAAAATAATTATAGGTCAGAGCTATACCACAGAACTGTTGATGAGAGGCTTGTTTCTGTTGCACATTTCTTGAAGCATTTTTAAAATAACATATAACCTATAACCTTATTTAAGTTTTCCTTTCTATTAATACTCTGTCCTTTGGCCCATGCATGCTCCTTCCCCCAGAACTCCTCTCTGCTGCACTCACAGCATCTGTTCCCGAGGAGTTATGACTCTTGACTTCGTACAGGGCTGGGGCTCTTAACCACCAGCTGCCATCCAGGCACTTTAAGTGCAAGATCTCCCTAGTTATGCTATGTGGAATTTTACTTGTGTACAATTACTTATCTAAAATGAAAAAAAAGGGGGTGATGGACCAATTTACCATGTAGAAACAGCGAGAGGCACTCCTGTACAATTTGTTTCTTACTGTAAAGCAACATATTTTTTGTTTTCGGAAATGTTTAATTATGAAAACTTAATTATTAGACTGGCAAAATTAAGAGCAAAATATACGACACCTAATTGATATGCATAAGGTGACTCATAATGAGTCCTAAATGAAAAAAATTATTATAATGAATGTTATTTTTCATTTTGCTACGCTAAGCAGTAAAACATGATATTTACCCCTTGGAGAACCGAGGAAATTACTTAAAATTGCCGAATTACAATAAATTTGCACACAGATAACATGCATGCTATATATAAAGTCTCACATTAAATTATCTTGAAATAAGCATTGCCCTTCAAAACAGATGCAGACTTGTGTGTTGGTGGTAGTGAGGAGATTGGTATTAGCATCAAATCTTCATTGATGACTAATTTTTAATTCCCTTCCTTTTATCTTTAGGTATGGCTTTCCCAACGAAAGGCTAAGAATTCAAGATCGGTCTTAACTGAACCCTCATCAGATCTGAATTTAACAAATGCTTAGTCTCAGCAGCCTCCGGGGAAAAAGCTTAGCCTAGCAGTCAGTGGCTTACTTGCACTTTTTTGCACATAGATATAAAATAAAATCATGTTATTAATTTGGTTTAGTCTGTAATATTACAAAGTAATGGTAATTTATAAAGGAGTGTATAGTAGTGTACTGACTGCTAAGTGTACTGTACTGTTTGCTTTACTAATCACCTAATTCATTGCAGTTCATACTTATTGACTCAGAGTTTAAAACCACAATCTGTAGGCTTTAAGAATTGCTTTTAAACCTTTTTTAAGTAACAAACTCTGGAAGTGGTCTTAAGGTTAGTGAATAATTGTCAGTATTAAACATGGCATTATTTAGTCCTACTGCAAGAAAGGCACTTCAGTGAATATGTGACTAGTAAAGCTCAAATATGTTTGGATTTAATAGAGTTCATGAAATACTGTAACTTGGAAATTGTAAATGAATGGATAAGATAGGTTAAGGCCAACATGTTTGAAATGAATGCAATATTAATAGATGCATATATGTGACATATTACAGTTAATTTTAAAACTACTGTGCCTTAACGTGTTTCTTAAACTTTTGTAGTAAATGAATATTTGAAATCTGTTTTGATAAACCTGCTGTTAATGTTCCCCCCCCTCTTATGTATGTTTTCTAACTTTGTCTTGGTGATTGCAATTTAACTAGGTGCGGTGGCTACTAAAGTTCGAAGGCACGATATGCGTGTCCATCCTTACCAAAGGATTGTGACCGCAGACCGAGGTTAGTTTAGTTCTGCAGTTCTTGTTTATAAGAAATACGTTGGGTGTCCATAAAATTTGCAACACCACACCTGATGGAAATGTAACTGCTTACCTGCACACTGTTTCCTTTCCTTTTCTAAACTCATTTGTAATGATTGACAGGATTAAGGGTTGGGGTTGGTTTTTGTTTGTTTGTTTGTTTTGTTTTTTGGGGTTTTTTTGGTTTAATTTTTCCTCCCTTCGTATTTTAACTTATTAAATTGTCTATTATGTACTCTGATTTATTCCTACTAAAACATAAATCAGTTGTTTGGGGGAGCTATTAAATTTTTTTATGTTGCCTTAACTATTTTTTCCTGAATAACTTTTGCTAAAACTTTCCTCTTATTGTTCTAAAATTTTGGGTTGGTATTGCAAAATGAATTGAATGGATGGTGCTTTAATGAGAGGAGTAAAGGAATATATGCCTCCTGTGTACTTTGGGAGAAAACTGAAGATTTAGTTTCCATTTTTTTCTTTATCATAAAACATTTTAGCCACTGTATAAACATGAGGGTCTACATGTCACATAATTAGCTGAAATCCACTAAGTCAGGACTGTGAAGATATTTTTCATGTAGTGGATTTTTTAAAATATAAATTTAAAAAATCAGTTCCCTATTATTCTTATATTCTCTTGCCAAAATGAATCCCCTTGATTTTTGTCATTTGCTGCTAAAATACATTATCTGAAGGTATACTCTCTCCTGAAGTTCTGTGGTATATGGGATCGAGCTGTTTTGGATATCCTTTTTGACTAACCTGTGACTGGAAAATAAGTCTTCATTTTTCTCCTTTTCAACATTTGTAATTTGTGTCCTATATATGCCCTTGGACCCTTTTATAAATTATTAGTACTTTTGAGGGGAAGTATTTTTGGTTTATTGACATTGAATTGTTTTCTAAATTTTTTCACCACAGGAATCCCAAGCATGGTAGCAAAGGATTTCAAAAAGTCTTATTATGGCACATTTATTACCTAGTGATTAAATTGGTCAAAGACTCTAATTTTAGTGGGGGGAATACTAGTAGATTTTTCTCTCCATTTGTACATTTTCTGTGAATTTATGAAAGACTTATCTGGTTCAAATGGTTCCTTGAATACTCTTGATAAATACTGGACACAGCTCTTGTCCAGATTTAGAAAGAAAATGCCTTTTCAAAGACATTGGTAATATTTATTTAGCATCATACATAATTAAAGAGCCTTGAAGACTTTTAACTACTATATACATTATTTGTAGTGACTTTTCCATGAAAAGATTCAACCCGAAGCTCAGTGTTTGTCCATGAAAGTAGTTCTTCTTGAAAGTGTACCATACTCCAACATAGGTACCTCCCTTCCTACATCAGAGCAACTTTTCTAGGGATGGAAAAATAAGGGATAGCAGTACGGGGAAAGTCACTATAGTTTTAAAGAAACAGAGTCCCATGAATAATCTCATGAATAATTTGAAGCTTTAGTCATATTGCTAATGTCTAAAAAGTATTTGAAAGTAGTTTTGCTTCTGATAAATTTTTTTTCCCTGTATCTGCCCCCTTCAAGAGATTCCTTATAATTTTGTTTTAACACAGTAATTATTGATTGACTAAATACTCCAGTGCCTTTGGATAGTTGAAAATATTAGAGGAAGATTTTACTGCATTTGGAAAATGTCAATACATTCCATGCATGGCATTTTTGTAGTTACATGTGTTTGGATTAGTTATATCACAGTTTTTATTCAAAATGCAATGTCAGCAAACCGAAATGCTTTTTTTTTTCCTTCCCAAAGTAACAGTATACTCGTTACTATCACCATATGCACTCATTGGGTCTAAGGGAGATGTCTGAAGTCCTTTCATTTAAATTATTTTATGATACTACTGTTTTCTCTATTTTTGAGGTTTCTACTTATTTTTTAAAATCTTTTGAAGAGAAAATTATTATACTCATCTGATGCAAGGAAAAAGCCCTTGGACATATAACCATGTAATTCTATGTAATCAATTAGAGTACTACATGGTTGATAAATACCTAGTTCTTTACTAAAAATAAACCCACCTCTAAACATTTCAACACTGAATTTGAAGCTTTTAAAAGGCCAACTGACTCTTTAGTTGTAATAAACTACAATGGTTTTGCACAGTTGACATACCTGTGTGTACTGTAGGTGGCCACGACTTGGCAGAGGATATATTCTAGGTGTACTGTTATATATAAATGGTAGTTTGCTTTGTTTATATATTCCACACTTAAAGAAGCATAATAAATTTTTCTGAGTAATGATTTTATAAAAACCATTACTTAAATAATTTGTATGAGAAACTTGAACAATTTTAATCAAAATTTTAATATCAGAATGCTTTAATAATCCATATTTTGGAACACCTGTGAAGAAGTAGTATGGCTATATCATGTTAAATATTTATTTTGTCCTTTCATTTTGAACAGCATTTTTTAATTTAAATAAAGTTCTACTTCTTTTTAAGACGTTCAGGGAAGATTTGGACACATTGAAGATACAGTATTTTTGTGGTATTTATACACTATTCTCAGTAGTAGACTGTAGAAAGCATTTTCATCAGATGAAGGTAATAAATCAGTCCATCATGTAGATCATTTAAACTTTGAACTTTACACCTACTGAGTTTTGACTTTGAAGTCGCACAGAATCTTAACTTTGCACTGAGTATCTTTTCATTCATATCTCCTCTGCCCTAGTCACAAATGGCAACAGTACAGAAAATTCTATCAAACCTCAGAATATAGTAGAAATAATTAAGCTGTTGAATGAGTCTTAAAAATTATACTACTGTTAAGTGGACCAAGTTTGGTGAAGCAGAATGTGACAGAGGTTGATTAAGGAAGGAACAACTCAAGGACATTGGGAATGATAACTTTTCCACTTGAGAACTACTTTGTTTTACTGTAATTTTTTAAATTTTTTGTTCTTTTTGTTATTTTGCAAAAGAAAATAGTATTTACAGGTGGCTTCTTTTAAACTATAAAATATAAAGCAGGAATGTATATGAAATGTCAGATTTTATTGTATTTGCAGAGTATTAGCTTTGAAATTGAATAAAGAAAGCTGTTTGTAGTTTTAAAATGCCTTATTGGTATCAATTAGAAATTTCTTCTATTTTTTGATGTACTTAGAGCTCTTTTGAGGTATAGAATTTTAAATGGCAGGATTTTACAGTGTTTACATGCAAGTACATTTTATAAGTGTTCTATATGTGTAAAATAGTATTTTCAACTGGAAAGTGTTGGCCAGTGCAAAAAGACCTGGCCTTTTTCTAGTTCCCATGTCGTTGCCTACACTGCTAGACTACAGTTTTGCTTTGTATCATGAGGCCAAGAAACTCCATGTTGTTTGTAAATAGAATAATTGAAAAAGCAATAAACATTTATTGAACAAAAGAAACCTTGTTTGGCCCAGAGTTTATGTCAAACCAAATTGTTCATAGAAATTCAAATTTCGTTAGATTTCATTTCTGTTAATCATCAGTTATTAATAATCACATCCATCATTAATAGTTGCTTTAATGCTTGCATCTGAGAGAATACTAATGCTTAATAGCAGTCAGATACTGATAACTGCACTGACTGTTCAAAATTCTGTATATGAAATCTATTCATTGTTTTCCAGTTTCCTTCATTGACTGCTACTAACTATTAGTTGTTAGTTGTATTTTATTTCTATTTTTTTCCTGTTAACCAGTTTTTTTTTTCCATGGGAGTGGGTTCTTCTTCATTTGTTCAAATCATGATATGAAATTGTCATGATTTTAGTTGTATTCTGTAGATGGTGTCAATCAGTTTGTCAGAATTAAACATGCTTTTTTTTATTAGTTGTGATTAGTTTTTCATGTTGTCATTAAGCCGTCACTAGCTGAAACTAATCTCTTCTCTATCTTTTCTTTTCTTTTTTTGTTTTGTTTTTTGTTTCTAACCACCCAGCCGCCACCGGCAACTAACCTATGACCTTCTGACCTCTGAACTCTTCACCCAATGATGACCTGACCATGCCTGCCTGCTGATCAGTTAACTGGTAATCGCCTTTGCTTGCCTGTCGTCAGTGCAGCGAGCTGAGGCACTTGTCCGTTCGTCTTACCATCTAACCAAACAAAAGACAAAGAAATTGTTGTTCTCCAACTCAGCTTTTTTTTTTTCCCGTTTGGGTGAAAGTGGTTCTAGCACCTGCACTGAATAGTAGTAAAGCAATAAGGCCCAACTCATCCCACAGCACTGATCATCTCTCAGTACCCCACCCTAAGCGAACGGTAAGAAGGCCTCTCTTAAGAAGGGAGACATGGCCCTTAACTACTCGATGACAGAGGCAGTTACTGTGAGAGACTTCTAGGAATCTTTTTCTTCTCATAGCGAAGTCAAAGCTCTCTGAATGTACTGTGTGATGATACATCATGCATGAACCTTTGGTCAGGGATGTCATTGGTGAAGTGATTTCAAAAAGTATTCAAAATTTGATACGCTGTTTAGTCACTACAGTGCCCTCAAAGGGCAAAAGTTGCAGCCTTTTTTATATTGCCTGCCAAAATTTGAAGTATTAGAAAAGTGTGCCATGAGAAAAAAACTTAACAAGGAGTTTTGAAAAGTAATGCAAAGAACAAAACTGCAACACTATTTTTAAAAAGATGAATATCTGAGTAAAAATTACTGAAACTTTATTTTACACCTCCTTAAAAATATATATGAGAACAAGGTACATGCATTATGTGTCACATTACTGGGCAAACTGTTCAAATATTTTTTTTAAACCTCCCTGTATAGAAAAAAAATCATTAAGGATGTAAAAGCCATGCTTGCCTAATTGCTGTATACATGTAATGAAATTGTAGATAAAGTGTAGTGCATTGAAACAAATGAACAAAAAGTAGATACTTTTACTATACAAGGGTGCTGGTGCAGAAAATATATATTTGGAAATGTAGCATTTTATACTTTCAAGTGTTACAAAAAAAGAAAAAGAACAAAGAAACCCTTTATTTCATTAAATGATTTTTTCTGGTGGTTGTCAAGAAACAAAAGACCAAAAGAGCCTTTTTGTCTTTCTTTTTTATTTTTTAAGTATTGGAATAAGTCTAAAGAAAAGAAAGTGCCTTATTTTCCTTCATGGTCATTTAGTCAAGTGTCTTGTAAGATCAGCTCCTTCCTTGGAATAAAAGTTAATGCATGTTAACTCAGTCGCCCAGTATGTGAATGAATATAGGAGGGGAGACAAATGAGTTGATGGTTTTTATTTTATGATTTGTGCCACGTTATTTTGATGCAAATTTGCCAAATCTGATACTGTGAAAAAATTTGATAACTTTTCTAATGTCTGACTAGTTAGTTTTAAAACATCATTCTTTTAAAAATCATAATTGAGTACTTCAGAGTTAGCCCAGAGGATTCTAAGATAGAAATTATGTAAGATCTGGACATCAGATCAGAAATTACAGACAAAATTATAGCTTTATTGTATTTGGAGAAGGGGGATGCATTGGATATTTTAATTGGAGATAATAGTATGCCTAGCAAACTTTTTCACAAAATAAATCTTTGTGATTTTCATTCTAGAAAACAGTATTCTGTAATAACCCAAATTTAATCATATTTCTTTATATCATACCAGATAACTGTGTAGTTCATCTCTCTTCTGTCTTTAGTAACTGCTCCTCCTTCCATACACACCTTTTTTGTCCCTTTTTCTTTAACTTTAAAAGAATGTGAAAAACTAGCATCATTGTGTATGTAAACACTCCAGCTGCATTTCAGTTTAAGCTTCCAGTTTCTTATGAAGTTCAATCACTTTTGTAGTTGAAGCAATTTGTGTGCAAAGCCTCCATCTAAACACTTGAGGAAATGATCAGTAACTATTCAGTACCAAACGTGGCAAATCTCAAGTGGCAGTGGACTTCCAACTCATCAACTCGTTCCCTCTCCCATACCTTCACAGCCTCACAGTCAAGGTCAGCAGGAAGCTCAGTCGGCACCTTCATGGTGACCTCTTCTCCATTATCCTGCCTCACTCGGAACCCTTTTCAGTTTATTTACTATGCAATAGACAGTCATTCTTTTGTACTCAGCTAGCTTTGGTTTATGTGCCAATGCTTTGTCTTTCTGTTACACACAGTTGTTTTGATTTATTTACAATATATGCTGTGCCATTTTGATTTTTATTGTGTTTGGTTGGTTGAATAAATTTGCGACACTGAAACACTTGAGGTGATAGTTGAAAACAAATACCAGTGTTTGATCCAGTTTCATCTCAACCGTGTTATACCTGGACATTTTAGATGTTTATCAAAGGTCTTTTATGGGGAAGAAAGTAAATGTATGAAATAATAAATGTGTGACATTTATAAGTAATGTTGGCTCAGAACAAACTTTTGAAAACTTAGCTGACAAATTTTTGGATCAACTGAAAAAAAAGCATGACTTTTGAAATCTCTGAATGCCTTGGTTCTCAGTATTATTCTTTTTGAATTTATTTCTTATTAATGTAGTTTTTAAGACTTTTTTTCTGACAGTATTATGTAATTTTTTAGTGTGGGTAGATGGGAGTGTCGCTTGTATGTTATCGTACAGCTGACATGTATTTTTTGTCTATTCTTTATATCCGTAGTAGTTTCATGCTATGTATGTACCATAACCAACCTATTGCCTATGAGAAACATGTAAGATAATGTATTTACAGCCCTTGTTACAAGTTTATAATGTATTTTTCTATCTTGTTTTATATGTATGTTATATAACATTCAAAAAGAATTTTTTTCTTGATTGAGAAAAGGATACAAAATGCAAAATCCACAGTTTTGATAACTGAAAATTGCCAATTGTTTTGCAGTACTTTATTATACTGGGTGTCTTGTCTTTTTTGGGCTTTTAGTTAGCTAATGAATGAATACATTAGACACTTTTGGGTTTTAGTTGGGATTTTACATAGCTTGCATTTTAATTCTTTGGTTCTTTGCTGTTTCTATTAACCCATAGCATTATTTTAATAAATGTTATAATACCAACCTACTAACTCTGGACTATGTCTGTTTATTAACCTTTACATGTTTAATTAAAATAAACAATAAAGACAAAAGAATGTAAAGCCTTGAGTTACTGGACTAACCCTGAAGAACATGACCACAGATAACATAGTGTGACTTGTTTTTATGTTGTTTGTCAGCTGACAATTCCGCACACTACTGTTAAAATGGCTTTGGTTATTCTGGTCTTTTACCTTGGGGGATAGGTGCCAGTAGACATGGGAACAAAGTAGCGTTTGTTTGAGGCGTTTTTCTCCTATATGCCACTTGCCTTTCAGCATCTGCCTTACTAATTGCACACTTTAATTTTCCTTCTCCAAAATAATCACTGTCTGCTCATAGCATAAAGCGTAAAGCGACTCATTGTGATGATATACTTTAAGAAACCAGTTTGATTTGTTATTGAACCATTTGATTTCTGTAAGGTGATTTTATGGTCCCATTATAAAGCAAAAATCTGATGACATTTTGCCTGTATTAGGTTTTTGTTTTAACGTAACATTTTCCCTTTGTAAAGTGTTGAACTTGTTTAGCCAGATGCTCCTACAGTAGGAACTGAATATAGGTAAGGCCAGAGGCAGATTGGATCTGTTTTTCATGACAGTTCAAAGTAAGTGACGTATGACCACGATGGGATCCCAACACCTTTTCTCATCTAGCCTCTGGCACATAACAGTTTTTCCTCTCTCACCCACTTCCCAAACAGACTATAACATTCATAAAAGAAGTTTAAGAGGGAAGAATACTGGGGTTTCAAGAGTTTATATGTGATTAATTTCTTGCATGTAAGTCAGTTTAAGATTACATATTCTCATGCTTTTCTTGGCTGCAGCCTGTGTAAATGAACCTCTAATTGTGACTTCATTAGTTTAACTCTTGATATGTGTTTTTATGTCACAGAATGGTAATTGCCTTTTCTGTGAAACAGTTTTGCTACATATGAAAAAAGTTCTCAAGATGAATTTTGCATTTGTAAATAATTGTTTATTTTTGTAAATTTTATTTATTTAGCATTCTAGAATTTGGGCTGAAAGGAGTTATGTGTAGTAAAGTTGTAACTATCAATATGCTCCTAACCAATCAAACTATCAAAGTATTTTCATATTTCATATATGTATGTGCATTTATGAAATTCATAGAGTAGCAGTAACTGATTTAATCACCATTGATGGTCATTTGAACCATGTAAACAAATGTAGTCATTTCTGTGATAGCAGGTAGTGCATTATTGTTAGGTAGACAAATCTTTGATATACTACTGTCTGTAACAGTTCCTTTTACCATAACAAGTTTGTGTATTCTGTGCACATTTAAAGATGTCTGTAAAACTGCTAATACACAAATTGTTATGGTACCATGTCACTTAAATTGATAAAGAATT